GAAGCCATGTCTCAATACAGTCTGTGATCAGTTTGACCTTTGACCCCCTCCCTCGGGTGTTTCTCACACCGTGCAGAGAATTGTGGGTCAGACTGCTACTAACTGATTGGCTGGCCTGCTGCAGTGCACTCTGGGAAGTGTAGTCCTTCGAGAACCAATGGATTTTCTCTCTGACTGATTTTTGAAAGTCAAAACATTTCATCGGTAATTTATTTATTTAATTTAACATTTTTACAAATCAATCTTCAAACGTGACGTTTGGTACGAGCTGCTTGCCGTCCGTCTCTACCCAATCAGCATGGAGCTGATCAACCGTTAAAGGAACAGTCCGCTGTGTTCGTCCCACCCAGAGGAGCGACTGAAGAACAAACAGATGAAGTTAAAATCAAATATGCTGAAAATAGATATTTTATCTTTACAGTGAACATTTAGCTTTTAACTTTTATTCGCAAAGCTTTAAATTTATCTTTTTTTTACCCAGGAAATGATTTTCAGCTTTAGTTTGTTTGTTTTCTTCAGATTTTCTTCTTTGTGCCTGCAGACAATTTTTTAATATCCAACCAATCAATGAGCTGGAAATCACGAGAGCTGAAAAAAATGTACTGATAATCTCAGACACACACACACACACATCCACATACACACACACAAATCATTTGTGCATTGAAACACTAACTGCAATGATTGTCTTTCAAAATAAATGTCCCTTTCACACAGTGTATGCAGTGTTTTATTGTGAAAATCAGTGAAATTGATCTGAGTTTAAATCAATCACTGCTGACATTAAACTCAATTAAACTTAAGCTTTCTGTTAAAGAGCAAGGTCTCGTAAAAGTTTGATTGTGTGCCAGTGAGTTCCACTCTGAAGTCATGGTCATTCCTTTATATTCACTTCAGTTTTATTCATTTAGCACCGTTGACTTTAGAAAACTTGTAGAGCTATGAGATGATAAGTTGTGTCTTTTTCATAATAGTGATGTGATTGGATTTAACGAGTCACTGTAAACCCATCAGCAGATGGACCGGAGCAGCCGGGCTACGAAAAAAGTGTAGGGAGGCGTGTTAACAGTCATGTCCAGTGGGTGAATGATGCTGATGCTCTACCTCAAGTCACAACCGTGCAGACTCGGGCTCCAAAAGTGCAACATGGCAGCTCCTTCAAGCGGGCTTCATTTTTGTACAATGGGAGGAAGTGCAGCCAGGTTCGCCATCTTTTCTATAGTCATTGATTAGCACCAATACACAGCTTCAAGCTGCTAAGAGGAACGATTGCACGATATCAACACCTGGCAACAGTGGGGATGAAGAAGTCCCTTTTAACAGGAAACGAGGCCCAAGAAGGGGAGCACAGAGATGAGGAGAAAAAGAGAGAAGACAAATTTAAAGATGCATCAGTGAGGATGGAGGAGAGGCAGCGAGTGCAAAAACAGGAAGTTGTTAGAAAGAAAGAAAGCAGTCCTGCATATTTGTTTAATATACGCATAGAAAGACCTATCCTGGTCAGAAACAGCTCCAGGAGTCCTCACAGGCATCATATTTCTAAGATTTGTAGGGCCAAATATGATAAGCTTAGTTTTATCTGAGACCACTGGAAAAAGGTGGGCGGGGGGCTTCTGTATTTCTTATTTTATTATTTAAGAATGGTGAAAAAGTTTGGGGTTTTTTTTTTTAGCGTTCCTAATCCTCTTTTGTAGAAATGAGAGGTGATCCAGGTCTTTAAAGCACTCGTGCAGTGTGATTTGTGTCCTCACAAACTGATCAACCCCAACACACAGGCTGATTTCAAGTCAGATTAATTCACAGCACATTTAAAAACAGCTGTTTGATAAAAGTGCTGCAGAGCAGAGAAAATAATAAAGAGGTGAGGTAGGGAGGCACATGCCCTGCAGACTTACACAATACAAGTCTAAAATCTGTGTAGTGATTGACCTGAGCAAATATGGCTAAAATAGTCAAGTCGGGATGAAAAGATGGCAGGATGACCCTCAGATGCCTTCACCTGCTCTAACAACAGCAGAGTGATCACTCACAGAGGCTTTAATACAAGGACATCAAATTCATTGTAACTCATGGGCCACGTACAAGCTACGTTGATCCTAATGTGGCCAGACATTTATGACACGATAAGTGTGTAAAATTACAGAAGTAGTTCTGGCAATTCACTGCCCACACTGTCCTGTAATTATAAAATATAATGTTCTCATTCAAAGAAAATGTCTTTTTTTCTGTGAACTCACTGTAAAAGTGAAAAAAGGACATTTCCCCCATTTAATTGTTTATCTGTGACTTAATTCCTTTGATGCTGTTTGAATGAGGCGGGCTCTTTATTAACAGGAAAACCTGTAAAACTACGTTGAAAGTTCACAATCTGCGCACGGTCAGTGTTGGAGCAGAGCTGCTTCCCACTGGTGACGTGGTGATATCAGCTGACTATCAGCCTTTATCAATCGTTCAACAGGAACAAAAACATGATACAACGTGATATAAAACAGGATGTGAGCACACCAATCCTAGCAGGGCCAGAACAAACCTGCAGAACCAATGAAGAAAAAGGAGGTTAAAAGAAATGACAACATGACAGAAGCTCAACGGTGATAGTCAAATGAGAGTCCTCCACAAAACCGCTGATTTTTCTCTTCAAGTTATTAGCAGAAAAAAGTTCTGCATGCAGAGTGGTACTGGTGGAGGCAAGGTGGCTTTAACATTAACGTGAAATTCCAACAGATTGGAAGGAAGCAGCATTCAGGACGGAGCCTGAGAAGAGTACAACAGGAAACACGTGCTAATAAAAAGCCAGAGAGGCCAACAACGGCTACTGATGATCAGTGGCGGTCCTAGCCTGTTTGGCGCCCTGGGCGAACACTCCCTCTGGCGGGGGGGGGGGGGGGGGGGGGGGGAACACTCCCTCGCGCGCCCCCCGCCCCCCCCGCCCCCCCCCCCCCCCCCCCCCCCCCCCGCCCCACACACACACACACACACACACACACACACACACACATACTTAACAAGGATATGTACATTAACATAAAGCTGTTACACACACACATATGAAGAGAGAGAGAGATAGTATGCAAACGGCTACCAAACAGCCATCATAATTCGTCATACAATGAGAACAGGACAAATCAACAATTGACAATGACTAATTAATATTAAAATCTGTAACATAATATATTGTTTGGAGTCTGTTACTGTTACTATTTTTACCATTTCTTCTTGGAGCAACTGTAACGCACATAATTTCCTTAGGGATTAATAAAGTATTCTGATTCTGATTGTTTCAGGATGACCTGCCATTATCCAATGACACATCTGCTTACCTGTATCTTTTGCTCGTTTCTCCTCCTCTTCTTTTCTCTTTTTTCTAAACTGAGGACCTGATGGCTTTGAACTTTTCTTGTCCATCTTCCATTGGTTTTAATTTTGCACTCCAGTATGAACACCCATCCCTCAACCCGAGGATCACCACAACATGATCTAACACACCTACACCTTAGTTCACAGATTCACTTTGTCTAGGGTTTATTTCTGAGATTTCACACAACCCAGGATTCAAATCATGAATACATAATGGGCTTGGATTTACATCATTATAAATGAAATGTGCTCTATTTGGAAGCAGCAGGGCCCCTCCCCTTTCGACGGGTTGTGTGTGAGACTTTAAATCATCAAACTGTAAATTTTAAATTGTTATTGATCCCTTTACCCCGAGTCCTAAAGTGTATATTTATTTTCTTACTCTTCTTATATATATTGTTTGTTTACTTGCACTGCTGTAACTGGAGCCTCGTCGTCTCGTCTCTCTATATACTGGACTGTAGCGGAGATGACAATAAAGTTTACTTTGACTTCAGCAGCAAGCAGGCGCACCGAGGGCTCTCGCGCTCACTTTTCGTGTATAGAATTTCGAAAAAACATCGGTGCAAATTATAAGTCTGTATTATAATGTCTGGTGTTTTCGTGTTTGTTGGTTTGTTTTTATTTTGTTTTATTTTGCGAGTTGGTTATTAGATGCTGCTCCAGCCGGTCAGAGAATCCCCCGCCGCCCCGCCCTCTCCTCTCTGCGCCGCAAGCAGCAGGCGCACCTCGCAAACGAAGGGCGCCCTTACTCCCAGCAAATGGGCGATAGAAAACCGATCGGTGCCTATGCCATTCCCAATATGCGCTGGCTGACGTCGGGGCAGCATGAGTACGAGCATTTTTGTTGTTGTTGCCGATGCCCGTGATGCCGCCCCCCACCACGATGCCGCCCCGGGCAACCGCCCCTGTCGCCCGAATCTAAAACCGCTACTGCTGATGATCCTTAGGGGCTCGCTTATATTACAACACATTAAACACAGCCTATATGCTCATATTGATGTAGCGCCCCCTGGTGGCCTGTGTTGGTCGTGGTGCGTCAGAAGTTCTGCAGGGAACCCCGTCCAGATTTTCGTGAACTTTCCTACCATGCGTGAAACGTCTGCTTCCATCAGAGACGCCCTCAGATATGATCAAGTGAAACCAAACCGTTGTTTCCACTCACATTCTACCTCCTCTTCTCAGAATAAACCCTTCTGCAGCCTCAGCTGTCTCCAGCACCTGTCAGACTTCAGAGTGACCTGAGCAATCTTCCAGCTCTGCCTGAACCTCCACTCCTCACACTGAAGTGATGAGAGTAGTAAAACTGTTAGTACAGTAAGAAGCATGGTCTGCAGGAAGTCGACCATTAAAAAAAACTCTTTCCAACCACCACTAGGTGTTGCTGCAGGATTATTGCTTCACCTCCCGTGTTAATTAAATGAAAAGAAAATGAGACAAACTGTCCTCGGGATAAATGTCTGTCTTTAAACTGTACCAAAAACAAAACTTTAACATGTTCATTACCAAATATCTGGAGTGTCGACATAAATATGACATTATATTCAAAATGAAGCGCCTCATCCTGGCGCTTCACTGAAACACTGAGTTTAAAAAGCACTCCAACTACACTGAGAGTAACTAAAGTATGAGTACTTACTGGTACTGGATGATAATTCTGGATTCATTCGTGTGTTTATCACTTTCATGATGTGAATGACTTGCAGGAAGCTTCATGAAACTTAAGCTCATGAAAAATGGATTCACATGTACGATAAATGATATGAAGGACGAGGAGCAAACATGGAGAGTGCAGAAGGAAGTACTCGTGTGAAGCAGAAGGCTTTGTTACCGAGTCTGACGTCCCAGTCTGTCCCCGTGACAGCTGCAGCAATAAAAATAATAAGTCATCATGGAGACCAGGAGCTCCACATCTTCATCCACCTCACAGCTCTTAAAATCGATCCTCCATCCATCAGTCAATTGATCAATAACAGCCTCTTGATGCATGCTCAGTCATCCAGGTAAGTAAATCCCAAAAGGCTGATTCTGTCTGGCTAGTTTCAGTCATTGTGCAGAGGAACCGTTTATAAGGTTGGAGACCTGCTGTAAGCTGAGACTGCATAAGTCACCTGGATGATAACAAAACGTTTCTCCCACTGAAAACGTCCAGATGAACAGAATCAACCTTTTGGGATTCAATAACAGCGTTTTTGCATGTTGGACTGATTTCAAAGTAAAAGTCTTCCTCACTCTCATCTCTTGATTATGAATCTGCAAGCACACTTTCAACTGTGACGTCAAAATCTGACCAAAAAAGGTTCAATATTCAAAACTTCTCCTACCCTTTTCTCCTTTCCTACCCTCCTCTCCTTTCCTCCCCCCTCCCTCCTGTCCTCCGTCCTCCCCGGTGGGCGGGTTTGTTTGCTCTCTCGGATGTGGATCAGATGTTTGATTTTGCTGCGGACTGATCTGCCGTCGGACATGGAGGAGTGAGTACACTTTATTTCTTCTCTCTCTTCTTTCTTTCCCTTCTTCTCTTTTCTTCTTCTGGTTGTTTTTCTGTGTTTGTGACGTATCTGAGACTCGTGTCATCATTGTGCGGCATCAGGGCGCTGAGTCAGGACCGAGGGGTGGGTGGGGGGCTAACTGCACCAAACTGGAGACTTTGGGGGGTGTGGTGGGGGTGTCCGAGTCACCGCAGCGGCAGGTGATGGGCGCGTGCGGACCCGCGGAGTGATCAAACCTCTCTGTGCTCTACTTTCCCCTGCGGAAGCAGCACCAGCTCTGATCAATAAGCAGCACGAGCGTCTATGATTACATATTGATCAGTTTCTGTGTTCCTCATTTGAGCTCAGTCACTTCCGTCAAGTTGGACGTGTGAGGAGAGGGTGACTTCCGGCGGGGTTCTTCACAATATAAGGTTTAAGCCCCAGTCCGATTGGTTCAGTTTTCTAAATTCAGCAAGGCAGGCTCTTTAATGATGTCACGATGTCACTTACAGAATTACAAGAATTACCACAAAGTGTGAATTTTCAGAAACGTCAGCATAAAACTTGCTCTGACACACCTGCACAAAGTCTCACTCACTATGGAGTTACCATACACCTGCAGAGATGCACCCGATGGATGATTCCCACAGGAAGAGTCACACCTGGGAGCAGATCCAGGTGTCAGATGGTGCTGAGATGAGTTCTGATGTTTCTGTACGTCATGTTTGAGGTTCATCAGATAATCAGATTTTACCTGATGCAGGTAAACAGGAAGCTGCAGATAAATCATTGGTTTCTTACCACTTTGTGTTTTGGGAATTTTTTTATCTGTATTATTTTCCATCATGTTCTGCAGAAATCTGTTTTCTTTGTGACTTCTTCATTATTTCCTCCTGCCTTCCTCACAGCCACTTATAAACCCAGACTTCAGAAAAGACTGCCAATCAGAATCTGGGAGCTGGTTGAGTTTCATCCCAGCAGCTGTTTTATTTTGAAGTACACTTCCTGTGTGCTTGTTTGGTGTGCCTGTGGGATTGATGGAGCTGCTGCAGCCTGGTGGAGGCTCAGAGGCAGTAGTAGGATGTGGTGTCTGGACAAGGACACAGCCCAGAGCAGAACCACGTGTTAGTGCCAAATGTGGGACTAATAAAGGTTTATCTGATCTTATCTCTTATCTTTACTTTATAAGGCTAAGCTGAGAGTACTTTTACTCTAACATGTAACTGAGTATTTGTACTCTTCTGTTTTTACCGCAAGTACTTCATCACTGCAGTGCATGGACTTCCTGTCTGCCTCTAATGCGGCGTTTCAATTAAAAGTCACACACCTGCTGACTGACCGGAACCCTTTCCTCTCAGACAGATCACAAACTGATCAATAATTAATATCATCCAATCATCAGTCTGAGCTCCTGTCCCATTACCTGCCATGCCCCTCTCTATAATACATCTCACTGCTGCTGAGCAGGCATGGACAAAAACACAGAAAGAGCCTGAGATTCAGTTTGAGCCTTTAAAGCACCTCCTCCTCGTCAGGGCGCTGTGTCTGAACTGCTTCCCAGTGGGCTGGGTTCTAGCTGCTGGTGTTGTCGGTCCTTGCAGTGGACTGTGGTCTCCATGGAGACCTTAAAGTGAAGCTTTGTTTGAGGTGTCTGAGAGGAAAAGTTTAAAGTGTAAAGCATACTGTGTGTCCTCCAGAGAGGAGAGCTGGATCGAGCTGACCTCTGAACCCAGTGACCTCTGTCCCGATGAGTTCATGGTCTCAGCCTCCAGTCGAAGTCTCACTGAATAAAACATGAAGTCTACTTTGGGTGCGATGCTCCCATTAGACTCAGGGAGGAATCAGGGCGGGACCAACGGCGCATCTGCGTCTAGCTGCTCCTTGTTTGGTGAACTCTGGTTTCCTGAGTGCTACACCAACCAGCAGCAGCTCCGCCAGCACAGACCGCCTGAGGCCTCGCACTGCCTTCAGCTCAAGCAACCTGAAGAAAGGGCAGCCATCTTTACAGCAAATAACTGATGACTCACCGCTGTTGAGCGCTTGTTAGCTGATCGCTTCAAGACTCTGCTGGAGTGTGTGTGTGTGTGTGTTTGAGAGAGAGAGAGAGAGAGAGAGAGAGAGTGTGTGTGCGTGTGTATGTGTGAAATAGCTAGTCAGTGTATGAATGAGTGTGTGAGGCTAAAGTGTAAACAGAGCTGTGCATCGAGCATCTGTGTATTAAGCGGAACAAGGAAACGTACGATTCAGTGATGTCACAGTGATGTCACAGTGACATCATTAACCTGTCTGTCTGTCTCTCCCTCAGGGTGAGCGAGGTTCTCTATCAGCAGGATCGACTGCAGCTCATTGTGGTGAGTTTACTTACAGTCAGTGAATGCAGCATCTCACACACCTAGTATCAATGATTCAGATGTGTGTGTGAGACCCCACCCCCCCAGTAAGTTTTATTGCTCGAAGTTATCAATGTTGACTCTGAATTTTAAACTTTATCTAAACAAACACACTTTTATTTTATTTCAAAATAAAAGCCCACACTAAGAGAGTGCAGTCAGTAATCAGATTACCTCAGTGGATTACTTCAGAGCAGAAGTGTGATTGGATTATTGATCCCAATCAGCAGCTGGTTCTGTTTTCCATAATGCTGCAGGAGAAAAGGAAGTGGCAGACGGAGATCGAGAACAAGAAGCGTCAGTTGGAGGACGACAGGAGGGCGCTACAGCACCTGAAGGTGAGCCCACCACTTCCTGTTTCCTGTTTTCTGTTTAAAGGTCGGGTGCACTCAGAGGTGAGCAAGATGCTGAAGCCTTCGTACCGTTCTAAATCGTGCCGCTAAGAGGCGTGAAGACGCAGAAACACGAGTCAGACTCAGACCTCATGTCTCTGAGCTCTGAGTCTGTTCAGGCACGTAAACAGACTGCTGCAGAGATCCAGGTCTGATCAAGGTGTGATCAAGATATGACTCAACCAGATCCAGATCGGATCCAGGCCTGATCCAGGTTTGATCTGGGTCTGATCCAGGCCTGATTATGGCAGGGGCATGGTCTCTGGCTCCGCTGCAGTGGAGGGGTGTTGCAGTGCACTCAAGGGGCTGTGCCATGAAGTCTGATGGGCAGGTGGAGATGATTGTGTTAACGAGGTTTCCCTCCCTCCCTCAGGTCCCACGCCGGGACCTGAGACGAGTCGGTGTGGAGTTGGCTACAAAGCTGACATTGATGCCAAACCACAAAGAAACATTTTTGTGCACTAAATAAACAAAACCAAAACCTGAATGCTCTGTGGAGTCCAGCTCTTTCACACTGATGTTTTTTATTCATGTCCTTCTTTCAGATGGTCAGTGGTCATTTCCTGTTTTATTCTGATAGGCGGCTCTCTGTTGTGTTCTCTTTTGCGTTCCTACTTCCTGTCTGCTGATGATGTCCTTGCACTGTTCCTGGGTCTGCACGCTTTTCGCAGTCCTGGTTATTCTAGACTTTGTTTTGCACATTTTTGTAAAATTTGTAATATTCAACACTATTCAGAGCTGGTCTTCCAGAGAAGAACTGTGCACTTTTATGGGATAAATCAGCCTGTATTCCTAGAAACACAATGCTGTTTTAAATTGCTTCTTATTATCAAAGCTGCAGCACCATCCGTCCCTCCAACATGATGTTCAGGAGTCTAAAATAAGTTGAGATCACAGAGTCATAATGGAAACCCTTAGAACCATCGCTGATCTTCTGCTTCAAAGAGACTCAGAAACAGAAACCTGTCGTTCAGATGTTGTATATTCCAGACTGAAGTGCTGTGGAAAATTTATTTCTGCCAGTAAATTCTCTCATCTATTATTGATCTTTGATATGAGATCATATTTCATTAATGACTCTTATCAGTTTGTCTTTCACCAGAAAAAATAAAGAGTAACTCTCTCTGGCTCCTACTCCTGCTGGCTCACTGTGTGTCAAGTCATTCAGGTATTCAGAGATTCAAGAGGCACAAACTGAGAACAGCTGCAAGGTAAAAATATCTGAGATCAGCCAAACAGCACGCAGGTAGGACAGGACTGCCAGGGCCATGTGAAATAGCAGCTGTTTTCCCGATGAGGAGGAGGCCGCGAGTTCAGAGAGCCCGAGCTCATCCAGATAGTTTTATTCAACTAAAAGGATCCATTCAGGCTTCACGCGTTTATTAAAGGGACACTCAGACGTCCTCCTGATGGACGTTGGTCCATGAGCACCCATTGCTGTCTGTGCACGTCTGCTTTCAATCATTAGATACTAAAATGATTTTATTCCATTTTCACTGTTTTCTCCTTTGAGGACATGATGCTGATGCTCTCCAATTTGTAGTGTTGAGTAGCCGAAACGTCAAAACAATAAATGGATAAAGATTTTTTTCTGCCAGCATGTGTGTGAAACGAGCAGCTTTTTAAGGTGCTAATTAAAATCGTTGAGAGTTTGAAAGACGACCCGGCGAGGACGAATCCCACTCAGAGCCGTGCAGCTGAGTGTCTGCTGCTGTCAGCTGCAAGGGTTTAATGAGACGCTCAGAATGAGACCAGAGTTCAGGTTATATATGTAAAAAGCTCTGATGAACCCGCTGGTTTAGTTTTAACCGTGCATGGGGATTTTTTTGCAGACTGTGAAGTCTGGTGTCCAGGTTTCCTTCCTCGTGCTGCTCTGATCTTCATCTTGCTGGCTGATTTGTTTAGTCTGGAGCTGCTCAGCCTTTCTGACACTTTTTAAGGTTGAAGCTTTCTATTCCCGAGGCTGACAGATGCTTTGAACCCTCTGATCTGCTTTGATTATTCTCTTCATGCTCTGTGGATGATGACACATCTTCCTGCTGGAGAGTTTGATACGTGCCTCCTCACGTGTTAGAAGGAAGCTGTCATCTGTGTGACCTGTGTTTCAGTCAAAGGCTCTGAGGGACCGCTGGCTGCTGGAGGGAGCATCTGCTGGACCCGAGCAGAACGAAGTCTGTAGACAGCTGGAGCAGGACGAGGCCCGGACCCGGAGCCTGGAGGAGACCATTGACAGGTCTGAGCCGCCGAGCCCGAACATCCAGGAAGGGTGGCCTTATTCACTGTGGGATTAAAACCATCAACTGTGTGCGTGTGTGTGTGTGTGCTGTAGGCTGCAGCAGGAACTTGTCGGCCTTGAGACTGGATCTGTCTGTCAGACCATAACTAACATTAAAGTGAGTGTACATGCACGCACGCGCGCACACAAACGTTTTCTAATATCACTTTTTTTCCTTTCTAAAATCAGCTTTTCTGCTGTCCTCATAGGGTTAGTAGATCATTTGAACCAAATTAGGTTGGATTACATGGGTGAGGATGTTGGGAGGGGGGTTCGCTGGCAGGACTGGCTTACTTTGGAGGTTTTTTCATGTTTCTGTTTCCCGTTTCCTTCTACTTATTGATGGAGGATTCCTGTTAAGACTCTTATTGTGAAGATAAACTTCCTTTCTCTGTTTGTGCCTCCAGGTGTCATCAAGACCAGCTTCAGGTAAATTTCTAAATTTCTCTGTCTGTTTTTATTCGTGAAGCCTTTGTCTCACGTTTGTCTCTGATCAGCTGTAGAGGTCAAAGATCGCGAAAGGCATCAGCAGGACAGGGCTCCACTGGCAACTCAGGTGATCCAAGGTGAGACTGTGCTATAACTGTAATCAGATCTCAGTAATCAGATTACAGCTACATTACGGTAAGTTGTTGTGATAACCTCACTGTTAGTTCTTTCTCTGCTCTGTCTTTGTGCCTGGCCCATTTTTACCCACAAGCCCCTGCAGAGGTCAAAGTTAACAAAAGTCCTCGACTGAACAAACCCAGAGAGGCGACCGAGGAGATGAAGAAAGGTGAGTCAGAAGTGACCACACCCACTCTGCACCGACCTGACGGGGGTCGTCTTAAACTGGTGAACTGAGCTAGTTTTCCTCAGGTGGGACATGAAGCTCACCTGGAAGTCACCAAGTCAGGAAATAGATCCAGAATATTTCCATGGCTAAAGATTAGCTCACTGGGAGAAGGAGATGGCCATAGGCCCTATGGCTGAGAGCAGCCGGAGGGTTGACGCAGGTCTTCCCCTGCTTTCCTGTCTGTCTTTGATGCACTGTCTAATAAAGCCAGTAAAAGAATAAAGTACAGATGAGATCAGCCATGTTGTTTCCTGACTTTAAGAGTTTGCGTTTGGTTCTCCGTGATGAGGTTCGAAGAATCAGTAAAATATGATTAATCGCAGCTTTCAGTGATTTTAATGAGTCTGTTATCATTCACCCTGCAAATGTGTAAGGTCAGAGGTCATAGAGTGTAGACACGTGGGAGGAGAGGGGACATCGACCTTAATGTGTCTCTAACAGCTGCCTTCCTGTTTCTATCTGTAAGTCCGTTTTAGGGTCACGTTAACAGTGAATTTGTGTGTTGGCTGGTGTGATGGGTGTGTGTGTGTTATTGTGGTGTTTCCCTCATAGTGTAGGATCTGTGGGAGGCTATTGAAATGAATCATGGGCTAAATGAATGTATGAAGCTGTGGGAGTTTCCTGACACTTTGCTGGTATTTAAGGCTGAACAGAAGCAGGTCTGAATCTACCCCTGGCATGACTGCAGGGGTTTCCACGGGAGATGTGAAGGCATTTGGAAAAAGACGATGTCGGAGCCAGAGTGTGACCGCTGTGTCAGCACTCAGTCCATCCTGAAGGTCGAGTCCTCACAGCAACTGTCAACATGCACATGTTAAGTGAAGTTCGAAGCTTGTTAGATTAGAAACATCAGTAGAGCTTTCACATTCTTTCCCTTGACTTTAATAAATACATGCAGCCTCACTCAACATGCAGAGAGAAAATCAGAGTGATGCACATGTACTCAAACAACGCAGCAACAGAGGAGGCAGACTCTGACCGTACGAACGTCAGCAACTCAGCTTCTGGTCACAGATTTCAAGTTTCAGGAATAAACTCTTGCAATAACCTGAGCTGCATCCAAGGCCCTCTTCCTCCACCTCCTCACAGTGTCCCTCAACATCTGATGGAAAACGTCTCCCATGTACACTTATGGACAAAAGTCCTGAGTTACACCTGTTAATCTGTGAATCAGTGCCACGGGTGTATTAATCCAGCACCTGTGACCTGCCTTTATCTGTATGAGAGACAGAGTTTGAAAAGCTCAGCAATTCCAATGTGGTGCTAACAGGACGCTACTGTTACAAAAGTCTGTTCAGGAGAATTCTACCATCCGCCTAACCATCTGTTCTCCCATTTATCAATCCATCCATCCGTCCGTCCGTCCATCCATTAGTCTATTCTCCCATCCATTCATCCATCTATTCTCCCATTTATCCATCTATTCATCCATTCATTCATCCATCCATCCCTGGCATTAACATCAGCAGACACTGTGCACCAGGAGCTTCATGGCTGAGCAGCTCCTCTCAGGGTAATGTGTGGGTGCTGGTGTCCATTTAATGTATCTGATCCTTGGGACTTATCTGAGTTGTGGTTGTTTGCAGCTGAAATGTTTTGGTAGTTCAATTATTTGAGGCAGCAGGAGAGGATATACACACTGTACCAAAGTCAGTCTGGATGATGCGAGCAGAGCCTCACATATTCCTTCTGGTCATCAGACCCTTCTTTGTTCTGCATGGTTATGTCATGTCACACTAATAGAGCTGTACCTTTGCTATTGGAAGGTTACCCTCACCTGGGGTGCTTGTTTATGACCTGCTGCTTTCTCTGTCCTGACTCTTCTCTTCTGTGATCTAACCTTCTGCCTGCTGCCTTTATCTTTAGATCCACAGCAGCTCATTGTGTCTGTTGTGTTGACCCTCTCTGACCCTGTGATCCCTTCTAACCCCTCCCAATCCAGCGATGTACTCGGTGGAGATTAAAGTAGAGCGGGACAGAGTGACGGGGGAAACCAGGGTTCTGTCCAGTAACACCAAACTTCCTGTTGACCTCTCTGACCAAGGGGTCAAAGTTTATGAAGATGAGCAGAAAGGTGATGTTAGCAAGTAAACAAGAAAAATAAATAAAAACAAAGTCGGCTTTAAGAGAAGGGACCTGCTGATGCAATAACTGACTCTCAAAGGGCTGATTTCAGCTCTGCTGTGCGCGCATTTATCTGAATCTCTTCACAAGCTCATGGACTGTAGATGATGAATCACTCATTCTTTTTTTCTTAAATTATTGAACTATTTGCCCTCACAGTCTTTGCTGAACACCTCCACATCTTCACTTCAGAAACTCTCAGCATATCTGGGAGGACCTCTGAACTCCACTCATTACCTGCCAGATGTTCCACCAGGTATTTTCATAGCATTAGACACCTGCGTTACACACCTGTGACAGGCTGTTGTATCCTGAGAGTTTCAGATCTGAGGGTCATTCCTGCTGAGTTCCTGCAGTGGACATTTTATAGCACAGTGTGAGGAGCAGATCCATGTGTCTGGTTGTTGCAGCGCCTCCTGCTGGAGGTTTGCAGGTTTTCACAGCAGCAGTTTTCCTTCTCCTAAAGCCACAGCGGCCTCAGCCTGCCTGCATGATCAACACTCACCTGACAGTCAGGTGGTCACACCTCATCACTTTCAGCTCCAGCTGAAGGAAGCTGATGCACAGGTGTACTCTGTGACATCACTCAGTGAGTCTTTATTGGTCCTTCAGCTGGAGAGCATTCAGGTGTGGCACTCTGACCCTCACCTGTGTCTTCCTGTCTCCCAGTGGTCCATGAGCTGAATGGTGAGGATATCCACCTGCTCAGCTCCTCTGAGGTTGAAGAGCTCATCCACAAAGCTGATGAGGCGTCGATGATGTCACAGACTGTCACCACTGTGACATCCCTCCCGACAGCAGAGGTTCGGGAGGAGTTGGAGCTGATGCGGTCCAAGTCGCCGCTACCTCAGGTTCCAGTGGAGATCACAGGGCTAGAGGCCGAAGTGGGTGGTGAGCCGAGCGTGGCTGAGGCGAGCACTGAGAACCCGGTTACCATGGTGTTCATGGGATACCAGAGCGTAGAGGATGAAGACGAGACCAAGAAGGTGCTGGGGCTGCAGGGCACGGTGAAGGCCGAGCTGGTGCACATTGATGACCCAAACGGGAAGACATCAGGGGGAGAAAAGGAGGCGGATCCACCTCTGCCCACCTCCAAGGCCCCACCAACCTCCACTAAACCTCCAATGGCGATACCAGTGGCAAGCAATGGGGAGACGGCAGGGAAGGAGAAGGAGAAGAAGCCGTGTAAGTGCTGTAGCATCATGTGACCTGGTGACCTGTGGGGGGGGGGTGCCGCCTTGAAACGTAGCACGCAAATACAAAAATAAAAAGGACTGAAAACTCCTCCCATTGCTCACAGCCCCCCCAACATCACTTCCTGTTTCTTCCTTCAGGCGTATAAAGCCTCTCTTTACTTTTTCTATTTTCTTGAAGCCTTTTTACTTTTTTACTCTGCACGTCTGTACTTACATGTCTCAGTGTTAGCATAGCCTCAGTGTTAGCCTCCGCCTTCGCTGTGCCAGGATGTTTGTAGCTCCTCCCCCTCCTTTCTGTGAATGTATTATTATATTTATTAGAAGCTGTCTGAGTTTTTAAAAGAAGAAATAAAATGAGCAGAAACTAGTCTGCTTTTGTGCCGCAGCCTAAATTCTTCACCTCCACCTTCTATGTGGACCAACAAGTACCTCTCTATCCCTTAAGGGAAATGATTGTGTTCGAGCAGTAGGATAAAGACGGTCCTGTCTACAATAAATAAACACAGTAAAAGTGCCACGGGCACTGAAAACTGTGTAAAATGTTACATATACAGCAGTGAAAACAAACAAAGACAATAAAAATGGGCAGAGTAAAAGATTGTGCAAATTATAACATTAATTAATGTGTACACTATAAATCTGATAAACAGCTACATGAAGGTTTAATACAGAAATGCATGTTTGGAGTCTTATACCTGACAGGTCTGTTCACCTGTCCTTGAATGAGGTCTTATCCTGCAGACTCGTGCATGGCTCTGTGTGATCAGAGGTTTTAATCCAGCACTGCTCAAACCAATGATCTTTACAGGAAACAGATGAGAGCTCGAAGCTGCTGTCGTCTTTATTGAATAAAATTAAACGTTTTAATTGTTGATTGCTTCTTTGACCTCTGAAAGTTTGAAAAGCATTCGCTGATCTTCGTCTCTGTGGAAATCTTTTGAAGCGTGCTGCATTGAAAGTCTGACATAACCTCAGAGGATTCACTCACACTGGGCTCCATCAAACAGCACTCACAATCCCATCAGCTGTTTTTTGATCCACCCGCTGAGTCAGCGACGCTCGCCAAGAGGATCCAACTCTCGCAGCTTAGTGATCGGACTGCCACACACACCCTCATACACGTCATTGCCAAGTGTAGCAGATTTCAAATGGTAGACTGTTTTATGATGACAAACAGGGACTGGTTGCAAAACTGGCTTTATTTTCTAAGCATTTTCACAGCAGCAGGTGTTTCTTAATCCCAATGTGGAGTCCATGCAACTTTGGCCCACAATATTTAAAAAACATAAAAATATCAAAACAATGGTTTCTCTCAACAGCCACTTCAAAATCAAGTGTAATAGCGGGGTAAAACTGAGACAAATATGACGCAAAGTATACTTCAAAATAAACTACTGATAATCACTTATAATATTTAAATCCCCACTAAGATGGATCAATTACAAAACACATATTCATACAAAAGTAAATTTTCCCAACACAACTGAAAATACTATTTAACGTGCAGCCTTATATGACAAACTCATTATACACATAAAACAAAATCTGTACATGACTAACATTTAAGTCAAGTCAAGCAGAGTTTTATTGTCAACCCAACAATATAAACTCAAGTACACAGTGGGACAAAATAGCGTCCTCCTAGATCAAAGGTGCAACCTGTAAAAATAAACTGAAAAAAATAAATAAATACATATATACACAACTATACAGGAATAAGATAAACTAATAATAAGTACAACAGTGTTGTACTTGAATAGAAATAGAATAAGAACAGAAAAGAACGAGAATAAATTAGTACAATAGTACACAGACAGAGTCAAACAGTGCAATACAGCAGAGTGCAAGTATCGGGAGTGAGAGGACAGTGTTATGTAGTCCAAGAAGTGTGTGGAGAAGAGAGTCCAGTGTGGAGGAGGGCAGTGTGGTCCTCGGGAGCCGGACTGCTTGGAGGGAAAAGCTATTTACATATATCTAAAAGGCAAAATGCAGCAGCAGACCTCTCTGTTTAGCACAAGTGAAAAACACATAAATAGGTGGTATAACGATAAAAGGCAGTTTCCATCACTTTGGTACTTTGGGGACTTTTAGCCCTAAGAACTAATACTTAGTAAAGCAAAATAAACCAAACTTAAATTTATAATTTAGTACAGGGAGACAAGCTACAGAGAATGTGCCAAGCTACAGAGAATGTGCCTTACCAGTGTGGAGTCCATGCGACTCTGACTGGGAACCCACCACACATGCAACATGTTTCCTAGCAGTGTCCCAGTGATTAACGTCCCACTACAACAGTGGAACCTTAGTATTACAAAAATTCCATTTAAGTAATAAAAAATCAAATATATACAATGCTGTTTGAAAAAAGTTCACTGTGACTATATCTCAGCTACACAAACACTTATTTGCACAATCTCATACACACACACACGCACCCCTTAATACATCAAGTTAACTTTTGCACAACCCACTTTCATTGTTGCACTTTTGTATTGCACTGCTGTGTCTGTATAGTTTCTGTCTTTGTTTAGTTTTTTTTTTTTTTTGCTCACTTGCACTTTATCTAGTCCTGTGTTGAGTGTCTGTTATATGTAGCACCATGGTCTTGGAAGAATGTTGTCTCCTTTCACTGTGTACTGTACCACTGCACATGGTGGGAATGACAATAAAGCCACTTGACCTGAGAAGTTCAACTCATTCTTTCTTCAGACTCCTCACAGCTGATCATGATTTCAGCGATGCAATGTCTGATAGAGAAAGCTCTTGAAACAGGGTTAAAACCAGGTTCATATCTGCTGAGCAGCAGCTCCTACAAATCAGTATTGAAACATTATCAGATCATCAGCTTGTGTCTGAAATTCATCAGGTCGTCTTGTTTCACACACAGAGTGTGGGTCTGTCTGACGTCCTGGGGGGTGACGACTCTGCTCTGATTGGATAGAAGTCTGTGAGGAAATGAGTCTCCTCATCAGATGATCTTTGAGCTCAGTGAACTCTTTCCTGGTGAGCTTATGGTCTCAGGACTAAATAAAACATGTTTGTTTTGGAGATAATGTTCCCATTAAGGTCAGAGAGGAGCAGGAAGCAGGAAGGATTTAGGGCAGGGTTGAACAGTGATTGACACGTTGCTGCTTTTTCTGTTTTTATTTGATCTTTTGAGCATTTCTGGAGCTGATTGGAAGATCGAGGGTTTGTCTTGGTGGGTCTGTGACTTCACAGAGGTTTTCCAGCAGAGTGCTGTGTTTGAGACTCTGAGGAAGATAAAAACAAGCTCAGATGGAGAACGGAGGGATTTATTTCACTCAGCAGCGTCTGCATGCTCTGCAGCCTCCTGCTGTTGTCTTAGTAACCTGCAGAATGAGGCTCAGTGTCGCCCACTGCAGGAGACAGTACCTGCTGACAGTGAAGCAGGTTGTGTTTTCACCCCGTTATTCCCTGATTAGTTCACAAGTGAAGTTTGACCCTGTGCATGCGGGCTGCACACACACACACAAATATCAGAGACAATATATAGCAGCAACTGTGACTCTGGGTTTCTGTTATTTAAGGCCAAATAACAGAAATTATTTTTTTAGATGCATTTTAAGAATGTGCAGGATGGGGTCAGACTTTATGGACCTACAGTCTCTGCAGTTTCACTGTATTTAGTCGAACGTGTGTGGCAGCCCCAGTGTCTGAATTGGTATTTTATTGTTATTGTGATGAACCGCTTAAACTAACTGATTAAACACTAATTTTCAGACAATGACAACTACAAACCTGACTTTAAGGAAAGATTTAAAACCAAAAAAACTCACAAAAAACAAAGTAAAATAACTCCAAATTCCATGTGTTCACTCTGTGTATGTGTTTCTGTTGGTCAGCAGCATTCCTGATAAATTCTGCTGCTCAGCAACACTGAAACACACACACGTTGGTTTTTGTGGCTGAGTGAGGTCCTGGGACACACTGCGTTGCCAGGACCGTTTTAAACTGGTCCATGTGAATGCAAACACACAAATACAGTTCCTGCACAATTAAAACTTTATTCTTTGAACTGTGCAGTCAGGGAGAATATCCCCGAGGGAGGATAAGGCTAATATTTCTCTACAGCTGATTTAACCATAACCTGACATGTATCTAGTATTCAGTTTTACTTTCCCTGAATACCTCTGCCTGCATTTATACCCTCAATTTGTGTGTCCTCATCGCCTTGTTATACTGTCGTCCACTCTTGCATCCTGATTGGTTTATTGTGGCTTACCGTGTGTCTGCATTTGGGGTCTTTGTTAACAAACGTGACTCTTTCGGGTTTTTAATTACTGTAAGAATAAAACAGCATGAAATACCTGAGTCTGGACACTGTTAGAGAATGTGTTTGCTGATGAATTTCATGCTTTCTGGAACTGTCCTGTGGGTTCTTCTTGGCAACACTGATGATTTCAATAATCAGCACAGGTTAACCTGATTTTAGTCTTTTTTATATCGCCACTCGAATGAACTCAAAAAACAAGATCAATACTTCTTAAAAATACAACCTGCAAGTGAGGAAGCAATGGCTAAGAACTGGTTAAATAAAGAATATCCAACAAACTTGAACAGATAAAATAAAAAGTTCAGGAAATCTGTGAAATTCATCAGCTGATCTTCTCTGTGAGAGTCTAGATGGCAAGGTTATTGAAAACTCGCCATCTAGACTCTGTGAATATAAGTACATAAATGACTAAGCTTTGCCTGTTTGTGTTTTTGTGACTATTGTTACTGTGTTTTTCTGTGGAGAGAGGCGGCAGATCTGTAGATATGACCGTTGGGTCCCTCCATTTTATAAAGAGGCTGATTTATCTTCAGAATAATAATTTAAAACAAACAAACATTGACTTGTTCTGACACCAGCTGCATCTTGAAGTGCGACTAAATGTGGATGAATTATAACAGTAGAAGCTCCTTATCTCATCTACGTCTGTTTCTGCTGCTTGGAGCTTGGCTCCTTGTTTGCACACTTGCTCTTAGAAACTTTCCTCAAACTCTCAAATCTGCTTTTTTTTTTTATCTGATTGAAGGAGGAAGGAAGCAGCTAATTTAAAAATTTTAGAAATATATCTTAAATCCAGTGGTTAACATTTTGATGACCTTACCCTTCTGACTCCCACAGTGCAGTATCAGTTTGACCCACCAGAGGGTTGATGATTTTGGTTGATGTCAAATTTATTTTAAAAGTTATTTTCAAAAGTCAGCTTTTGTCTGGCAATCGCAGCTGAACACATCTTCAGAGCTCTTGTTACACATCTGATTCACAGTAAAAACAACACAACTGCTTTTTATTTTCAAACTTTTTGATCTGAACAGAATTTATTCAGAAGCTCCTGATGTTAAAATTGAAAGACTGAAAAACCTCCAAACTCTGATTATTAAACAGACTCGAAGAATAAACCACCTGGAACCTGAGCCCAAACCTAAACCTAAGCCTGATCCTGAACTCAGTCCTCTGAAGGTCTGACATGAAGTAAGGACAAGGCAGCATGTCCTCACAGAGCCATAGAGACCAGCACACACACACACACACACACACACACACACACACACACACACACACACAGCGTTGGCGTGGATCAGTTGTCTGTCGGCGACTGCAGGGTGAGTCCACATTCTGTTTTCCTCTCTTTATTCTTACTTGTGTGACATCATGATGACATCATCTACCTGTGTGTCCAATCTCTAATCTTGTGACTGATGACGGGTTTAATTTATTAGCAGCTTTGATGATGTTGTGAAATGTAAATAGTATTAGCCCGCCCTCCTCTGGCAGTCAGACAATATGACTGTTTAAAGCTGTTTACACAAACAGAAAACAAACAAATGATATTTACTCATGATATCACTCGTATGTTTACAATTTCCTGTCAAGAAGAAAGAACAGAAACATGTTTTTCAGTTCTGAGTTAATCTCTGTGTGTCTTAGTAATGAAAACGGATTTTAACATCTGATAAATACTGCAGCTTCTTATTGACTGCCCAGCTGATCACATGACCGATTGCGTCCAGCTGTCTTCAAGCTGCTGCTGTTGCTTTTGCTGTTATGTCTGGTTTGAAAACCTCAAGTCAGCCATCATTGTGCCAGCTCACCAGCTGTCACCTGTCCAAACAACTGTTGTCCAGCTGGTCTACAAAACATCTGTGAGAGACAAGACGCAGTCCTTTACACACCTTCATCAGCACACCTGTACGGATGCTGCTTGTTGATTTGAGCTCTGTGTTCAGCACCATATCGCCCAACAAACTGGTTAATGAAGTGACCGCTTGAACTCTTTACTGAGCACATGGATCATAGATAGGCCCAGAATGCCAGGATGGGAGGCCACACCTTATTAACCCTAATCCTGAGCACAGGTGTGCCACACAGGTGCATCTTTAGTCCTGTCCTCTGCCTCCCATTCACATTTCTCATTTTTGGAAATGAGAAGATATACTTCAAACATGCACTATGATAAACAGCTGAACCTTCACATTTATTTTATTTACAGCCTATAGCACATTTAAACTACAGGTGGTGATCCAAAGTGCCTTAAAGACATTCCAGGTCTCAACAAACACAGTTTAAAAATGCATGAAACGCTGAAAGGTGTGTTTTATTGTGTTAACTAATTATTGTGGAAAAGAAAAATTACAGTGAAATTGATGATGATTAATCTCATGAGTCATGAAACACTGCTCTCACTTACATAAGGTGCCTTTATAAGATAAAAATATTGGTATTAGTAAAATTTGAGAAACATTTTTTACATTTCAAAAAAATAAAACTCCAGTAAGCATCAGGATTACAAACCATCCCAAGGTTTAAATCAATCAACACCTGAGGGAAGCTGTGTAACACCTACAGGGTGATGTCATCAAAAGGCAAAGACCCCCACACATTACAGCAAATATATGAATGATTATTCAGAACAGTCTGAACAAAGAAAAGAATAAAATCAGCCATAATTAGACCGATTAGACTGGACATGTAGTCATACGCTTATGGACAAGAACAAAAATCATATAGGCCAATTATAATTTAAAACTATATAAAATAACCTGGTATCTAAGCAGTTAGTACAGCAACATCTACAGATTTATCACCACAAAACAAAATGGATGATCAGTTTGACAAATCTGTTTCTTATATTTTTATATTTTTGCAATTAAGAACATAAACAAATCCATAATTTTCTGATTGCTTTATTTTGAAAAGGTACAGTTCCTTAGTAACTTCCTATTTATATTACTGTTGCTTCAGGGCTTGTGGTGATTGGTTCCTGCTGACCAGGTGAGTCTGACTAACATCATCATCCAAAACCAGAACTGGTCAGATCCAGTTCAGACCGGCAGGATGTTCAGGTACACGCCTCCCTGGGTGGTTCTGTGTCACAGTCTGGACCAGGAGACGAAGGTGAGACACGCACTTTCTGTCCCCAGGGTCAGAGGTCAGAGTGGTGTGCTTGCATTACTTGCTGTTGTGTTACAGAAGCTGCAGTTCAGCTGAGGGGGGCAGCAGGGAGTGCTCTTCAGTTTGATGATCCAGCGTGGATCACGAGCTGAGGCCACTCTCCTGTCCTTCTGCGTCTTACCATAAAACACTCACAGGCTGCCACTGCCTGTTAGGAATATCATTAAAGACTGGTCTCTGGGGGCGGGGCGTTGCTTTAGGGGCGGGGCCTGTGAGTAGGCATTCAGTGACCTTTGGCACATCAGTCAGTTGTTCTTCAGGCTGTGCAGCAGGCAGAAAACTGATCAGAGGTAAGAAATCAGCTCAGATCTACCTTTACATGATCAATCAGACCTTTAATCAGTAACAACTGTAATCAATAACATCTTTAATTAATGATATTTATAATCATTGACTAGTGATGAGACTGGAAGCGCCATTTTTCTGAATCCAAGGTGCGAAGGAGAATATACTCCTTCACACCTTGCTGCCTTATTATTAGTTATTGATTGTCACATGACCAGGACTTGGTTACTTCTTGAAAGCACCCGAAACACAAAGTTTTACAGCCCTGCCCCCCGAGGATCAGTTTCTGGGTCTCTGGGTGGTCTCCAAACAGTTGGACATGTTATCAGGTGACAGCAGCGGCTTGTCTGCAGGAGGAGCTGCTTATCAGGCATGCTCAGACAGGAGGGTGCTCTGAGGCCGCCTCTGTCTGGAACACTCCAGGAATCAGTCGAGTGTCATCTGCGGCTCGTGTTTGGCTGGTGAATTTCTGCACAAACAGGTGAAAGAAGACTTTATACCAGGGAATAAAATAACAGGCCTGGGGACCAGAAGAGGCCCTCTGAAAGGCCGGTCTGTTCCTGTGGCGTGACGGAATAAAAGTTCGCAGATGCCCACATAACTGCCCACAGGGGTATCAGAGCAGCTACTGAGTGCTAAAGTGATTTCTGAAGCTCTTTCAGGAGCGCTCAGGTGTGAGGAGACGGTAGCATAAAGAGTCCCTGACAGCAGGAAATGCTGGAATGACAAAGAATAAGAAGAAATGTTGTCTCTGAGCACCTCATAGCATTTCCAGCCTGCACGGACTAAAGATTATAGATGGCCATCACTGCCGGTCTGAGTCCTGACTCAGCTCAAAGACACAGACAGGTGAGGAGCACACCTCACCTGATGTCCTGCACTCAGGTGTGTGTGAATCTGTAACCCTGGCATGCTCAGCTGATTGGTGACGGCTCTGAGCCGCAGTTCTCCGTGCTAACAGGCCTTTTTACAACTTTGTCAGCTTTTGAACTTTGAACTGCTGCAGGTTTATAACCCTCTGACCTCCACCTTTATCCGAGCAGCTCTGAACTTTATCCGTTTTATGGTGGATTAATTATTAGAGTTCATGACCACAGACGAGCTGCCTTCCCATAAACGGTCATATGACTTCAGTCAGTCTTTTACGAGAGTCGCTGTAAACGTTATCATTGATCTATCATTCCTTGGATTCAGTTAAATTTCCTCCATAAAAACTCAGCTGCTGATTCCAGTTCAGGTCAGACATGCTGCAGTCAAACACGTGCCCCGGGGCCCTGAACCAGCCCCCCAGCTGGATAAATCCGGCACACTTAGTGAATGTACAGAGAAAAGTACAGGAAGTGATTAGTGGATCGGTTCTGCTTCTCCTCATTTCCTGTCTGTGTCTCGTGTTTAGTGACAACGTTCATATAAAACACATTCCTAATGATGAGGTCAATGAGTCCCTGTGGCCCCAAAGCTCAGGGTTTTCTCTGAAGTTTATGGATTTGATAAACTTCTTTAAGTGGTCACAGCAGCTCCACCCACCTGCCCGATGATAACCGGTCTGCTGTGACCTCCTGTCTCAGCTTCCGGCTCCATGTTTGGATGGATCTGAGTCTTTTCAACCCTTATGTTCAGTGCAGGGTCTGTACTTTACAACGTAAAGTGCACTGAGGAAACCACTGTTGTGCTTTGGCACTATATAGATAAAACTGAGTTGAACTGGATGTTTCCAATGCAACCAATCAGCCCTCCAAATTGATTCCTGTTACTAGAGAAACTGTCCTATCCCTATTGCTCTCCTCTGTGGTTGCCACAGTAACCATTCTTTCCTCCCTGTTGTTTCAGAGACTTTCTGCGGGCAACCATCAGGATGTTTTGACTTTTCCATCTTCTCAGTCGAGTTCTGTTCATCACCATCTGTCAGAACCTCTGTCACCCGCTGGTTCTGCCACACCACCTGCAGCCATGGACAGCACTCCAAAGAATTGGGTTTTAAAGCCTCTGTCCCCCACGCTCCAACCATCAGACCTACGCACCATTGCTGTACCAGCCCCAGGTCCAAATGACCTGGACACCGCCTTTAGGAGCATCTCAGTTTCACACAGTCAGCCTTGTGTAGTTGTCTCCTCCCAGCAGGGCGACGAGTCTCAGGATGTTGTGGTTCAGGCCCGGCAGATTGCTGTGTCGCCTGATGGGGGAAACTCCAGTGACGAGTGGCAACCCAGCAGTCCCAGCAGTCCTGGCAGCAGCTCAGGCTCTCATTGTGGGTTTTACTCCTTTGTGGAAGATCCAGAAAGCCCCAAGGCTGAGCATAATGAAGCTTGGATGGTCTCACCCCAGCGCCAGGCTATGCTGGCCACCCTGAAGCAAGAGAAGGGCTTCAAACTACAGACCTACACAAGCAGCAAGAAACCCGAGAGTCTATTCTCAGAGGGCAACGGAGACCTGCAGTACAAGGTTGATGCAAACAATGGAATCAGAGTGGTTGGTGAGGAAGAGGAGAAGGAGCTTCGCAAAGAGATCATTCGTACCCAAGCTCCAAAGAAGAGTGCTGGGTTTCAGGACCAGCTGAGCTCCCAGGAGGACCTGAGCCAGTCTACAAACAAACTGATAGAAGGTTTCAGTTTAAGCTACAAGCCAGTCAGTTCCAGACCAGAACCTCCTCGTCCTGCTGAGCCCGGAACCATCGACAAGGAGCAGATCAACTTCAACACAATCCGACAACAGTTTCTGAAGTTGGAGCAGGACCGGCTGAAGGCTCCGTCCAGTCCTCTGAAGTCCCCAAGAACACACCTGAAGTCATATTTGTGGCCAGATCTTGATGTAACCACACCAAAGAAGGTGGAGACAAGTAACAACGCAGCACAGTTTAAAGCACCTGAAGAAGATGAAGCATATCGACAGAAGAAGGTGACGGTGTTCCAGACTGAGGAATGTTTGAGCAGGCAAAGCAGCGTGTTTGATGACCTGGACTCTGGACTGGAGGAGCTATCAGGAGAGGTGGGTGGTGGCTACGTCAGCGATGATGGGGTGTTCAACGATAACGTACAGCAGCTGAACAGACCCATCAAGTCCACTAGTGCTTGTGAGACCCCAATTGAACGGGAGATTCGGTTAATCCAGGAACGTGAGGAGAACCTGCGCCGCTCTCGAGGCCTGAAGCTTAGTGACAGTTGGGGACAGATGGTTGAGATCAAAACCAAACGCTTACAACCACGACCAGCACCGATCAAAATGAAAGAGAAGACTCGAGTGAGCTTCATTGTCCAGGGAGAGGTCAAAAACGAGAACCAGAATAAGCTTGATCCTTCTCAGAATATCGAAGAGACTAGAAGTCAGTCGGAGCCACGAAACAAGGACAGGTGGACAGAGGAGAGCAGCCAGCCTGAGTCTGAAACAAGTGAAGTCTTTCCATCTCCTTGCTGTCCTCATCGACACCCTGAAGAACAAAAACAAATGAGCCCGATTCCCTCTTCCTTGATCGAGATAGACTCTGGGGTCCAGGACAGAAGACGTCTTGACCAGGATCAAGTGTTTTCCTTTTCCTCTACTGCCTCCCTAGCATTGACACCTCAAAATGAAACAGCCCTTCAGTCCTGGAGGGAGAGCCTGAAGTCCACTGGCCTGCAGTGTAGAGGAAAAGGAGCCCCAGACTTCATTGAGAAGGAAATTGAGGAGGCTCTGAGAAGGGAGCAGGAGCTGAGGGAGTCCAGGGAGGAAGCCAAACAGCAGCTGTTCTCTCCAGCTCCTCTGGTGGAACAAGCGACCCAGAAGGCCATCAGTCAGTTCTACCCGCCGATAAAAACAGGTACGTACTGTTGACCCGATCACAGCAAACTCAAAGTGCCCCATAATTCTCAATGTCAGTTTGTTCTGACAGTCCAATCACGTCTAAACGTTTTTTGATGTTTCCAGACCTCATTAGATTTTAGTCCTTTGATATCTCAGGAAAGACTCCACATAAATTTCAGCTTAGGACCAAATATGATTTTTGAGGCTGTTTTCAGGTCAAAGTTCACCACTCCGGCAGGAACAGGGCTTAGCTGTTACTCAGTAATCTTTGAAGGAAAACTATTTTCACCTGTTTGTAACCAACCACATATCTTCTGCCTGTCATTCACTGTCAAAACACACACCAAACCACGATTGAAAGAGTGTTTCCTCTCAGGGAGATTGGCTGCTGCCTTAAACAGAGCCAGCGCTTTGGTTTGTGAGTTTATTGTCCAGAGGTGACACTAACACACCTCTCTGAGGCCCAATGTTCACCAAATATTAGAAAGAGGACTGAACCTACCCAATCACATCAGAGTGGCTCATGGGAGAATTTGCTGACTCAGTGTTTCAGAGGTGTTTATGAGTCTGAACAGAGGCATCCCCCAACAGGCCTGGACTCAAACCCGGTTCCTCCTCAGAGTCCACACCAGCACTTGGTCTGAAGGAAAAACTCATCACACTATGACATCATTAAGACTCTGACATGAGATGGTGGCCATGTATGGCCAGACTCTAACTGTCACCGGCCTTATTAAACCCATGTAACACTGTTGTTGGTCCAATGGTGTCTGAGTGACTCATCAGGTCCAGCAGTAAAACCTCCCAGGAGGCCCACATTGGCCAATGCTGTGGTTCATGTTCAGCTCAAGGCTCTAAAATGTGCTCAGTTAGGTTTAGGAAAAGATGGTTTGGGTTGAAATATGCTGTTTCACAGTAACCCTGCTCTGTTGCATTAAATTATTGTGTTTCGGGACGATGTGTGGAGCAGCAGTCACAGTGACTGACTGAAGGTTAAACACATCTCATCACTGTTAGCTTAAATTAATCAGCAGGTTTAAAAGTCAAATATGTGGAAATGTCCACAAAGCCAAACAGTAACCTATAACCATATTTGCGCTTAGCTGTTCTCAGATGTTCTTCAAAAGAACTATTTAAAGTTTTATTCAAACAGAGCAAAGACAACAAATGAAGTGGTAAAAAAACAAAACACAAAGAAAAGCTGTGAGGCTCACATGTATCCATACTCAGGACAAGCAGGATGTTATACAGTTTCCTCCAGCTCATCACTGTCATTAGTTTGTAGTTTTCAGGGTTTGTTTCAGTCTGCAGTTCCTCTGTCCACCTGGTGCTGTATGGCGTTATTTTTGTGCCACTATTCTGAGTGCACGTAAAAAAAAATTTGAGCGCATGTAAACATTTTCTTTACAAGTGTTGTATTTTGAGGAGAAATTTATCTTGAGCAAAGAAAAGCTACATTTTGAGCGAACAAAATTCATTGCTGCATGCAAAAAATGTATTTCAGTGTTTGCTGTTATCCATAGAAACACACAGTAACAGCTCCTCTTGCTCAGTTTTTGCATTTGTTCTTGCTCAGATCTCTGCGGACCTGTTCGCAGTGTGTCACTTGCACTCTGAACATCTCTGCTCCCTGTGCGTTCAACTCTTTCTATAGACTGTTATATTTGTGCCACAAAACCAACCAATCACACACTTGGATGCAAAAACTTCTGATTGCCTGTTTTGGTCTCTCTTTGGTCTCTCTTTGTTCACTCAAATTTAGTTTTTCTTTGCTCAAAATAAATCTCTCCTCAAAATGCAATGCAACAACTTGTTTTTACGTGCGCTCAGAATAGTGGCACAAAAATAACGCCATACTGCTGCTATCATCAGATTTTCACAAGCAACTTTGACTAACAGGGTTTTTTTTGTTTATAAACACCCAGTTTGTGATGTTCTGACTTAAGTGACTAACAACAGGTGATGCTGAGGGGGAAATCTTCAAAATAAAAGACCCAGAGATCAGAGCAGAGAGACAGAGTGCTGCTGAAGGTTTAAATGGAATCCACTGAAGGAGTGTGAAAATGATCTGCAGGAAGGAAGGTAAACTTGTTACATAAAAATCAGAGAATGAGTAACTCAACGAAAGAAATGATCAAAGTCCAGAGAAGCACCGAAATCCACTTCAGTCAATCAGTAACAGCTGCTCCAAAGCCACACACACACACACACACACTCGCTCATCAGAGCAGGCGACCAATCAGCACATTCTGTTATCCAGAGAATCCACGCTGGGAAACATTGCAGCAGCGCAATCTTAAGAAACCCTGCCTCACAGCAGACATGATGAGCAGACTGTAGATAAAAGATGGACCCAACCTCTGTGATGTTACTCATTGGTTTATGAACCCCTGGTTTTAACGGTTTCGCTGCATGATCATCATCAGTGTGCATCCTCAGACTGTACAGGTGTATCATACAGACACAGATATCTGCTAACCAGTGCTCAGTAACATCCAATTATAATCCTCAAATCTCACTGCACACCCAAACTGGAGCTTAGACCTGTTGGACTGTGTGTTGGTACAGTAACCTCTCAGCAGCCATACAATTGGTCAGATGATGTCATTAAAAATGCTCCAAAATCTCCAACTGCACAAACACGGTGAAGCTAGTGTTACAGGTACCATGTGGCAACACCTGTAGAAAGCTATATATGTGTCCTGCAAGCAAATTTTCAAATGAAAATATCGCTTACATTGAAAGTAAAATAGCTTAAATATAAATGAATTCACATAAATGTGATCACATGTTAGTGGATATCACACTACCAGACAGCTAGTAGCTACAGACACATGGAAGTCTTTGAGGACTTACTTACTGCTCCCTCTGCTGGCCGTTAGAGGAACAACCACAGCTTCACATTAAAATGATTCCACTGAATATAACTGAAAACTGGAAAGCTCCACCTTAAATGTGTTTCGTGTTTAAAGTTCTGTTTCCATTTAAATAATTTAAAAAAAAAAACATGATTGGAGGAAACAGCTGCTGTTCAAACACTGATGACATCACAGCGTGTCACATATGACGTCATTCATGATTTCCTCCACGGTGTTTCAGAGAAACCAGCCAGCGTGTCTTCTCCTCGCCCCTCCCTCCGTCTGCCCTCCGTCTCCTTCATCACGGCTCGGCCCTGGACCTCCTCCTCTCCCTCTCCCTCCTCCCCCTCCCTAGCAGTGCGAGGTCTGACGGAGACTCTGCTGCAGAACTTTGAGGAGTATCGAGCCAAACTGAAGCTGGAGGAGAGTGCAGTAAGTAGTTTTGCTCTTTCTGTTTTTCAGCCTCTTCCTGCTTCAGGAGATGATGAAGATGATCGGTTAGAAGTTGTCAATGAAATGATGCTGCACAAATAAAATGGAAGTGAATAAAATAAAAACCAAGGTCCAACAAAGCTGGGTCTGTGTGAACTGTAAAACAAGCCAGAATGCAACAATCTGTAAATCTATTAAACTAATATATTATTTACTACAGAACACAGAAAACACATAAAATGTTTAACCATGGTAAATGTTTGAATAAAAATATGAGCTTGTGTTGAATCTGATGGCAGCAACACATCTAGACAGGTCCATGTTTCCTCTTCCGTAACATCAGTCTGTGAGCTGAGGAGAACAGCTGAAGATCACAGAAATCCAATACTGATTTACAGCCTCATCCCTGCGCTCAGATCCACTGAATATGCTGATGATGTCATGTTGTGTAATTGATAAAATGTTCACAGCAAGGACTGTGATTCTGAAACAGGTTGGTGAACTTCTGAGAAGCTCCACCTCTCTGAGAGGATCTTTTTCCACCTGATCACGTGGCCGACCTGCTGCCAGCTCCCTTTGATCTTTTCTTTTGCACTGCTGGACTTTGACACACTTTTGCTGCTCCGTCGCAACTTTTAGGTCAAGTCGCTGATGCCAAATTCCACATTAGCTCAGATTTGTTATGAAACAGTAAAATGTCTCATTTTGAGTATTTACTGTGTTTTTGTGCTCTATTGTGGATAAAATATGAGTTTATGGGATTTGCAGATCATTGGATTCTGTTTTTATTTGCAGTTCAACCAGCGTCCTGACTGTTGGAACTGAGGTTTTAAAACTGCACAATAATAACAGAATCTATTTTTATTTGTTTGTTTCTTTACAGTACGCAGGGATCCAGCCAGTTGATGAGATCAACAACGAGGTATGGGCTTCTCCTGTAACCTTAACCCCTTTACTCCTTGTCTCCTTAACTCCTTGTCGTCTTGGCCTGTTTTCAGGTTGTGGAGTCGACTCGAGTCAATCGACATAAGAACCAGGGAGCTCTGCTCTGGGAGGCCAGACAATTTGCCAACCAGGAGAACCAGTGAGTGTGCCTGACTCCAAAACAGGACTCGACCTCAAGCAGCAGGGCAGGAGATCCTGAAATACGGGACTGAGTTTCTCTCCTCAAGCTGGGATGCAGTGGTTTCTAAAGACGCTCCAACAGAAATGGCTGTTGCTGATTGGTCCTTGAAGATGACAGCAGTTCCCCTTGTCTAATCAGCAGTCCGTTGGTTAGAGCCTAAAACAGAGACAACGTGTCTGATTCATCTAGAGAAAAAAAGATAGTTCCAGTGTTTATCTGGAGACTTTTAATCTGACACAGCAGCACGGGAAGTTTCTGATTGTTTTCATGATGCATCAAAAATAAAAAATGATTTTTAGTCCTCAGACATTCAGATGGTTCACTGCAAGACACAAACATCTGCCAACAGCTGCAGCATTATAGCAGAATCCCAGCGACAGGAAGCTCAGTTTTACCTGCTTTCTGAAAAACACCTGAACAGAGGGTTCTAACTTTCTCCAAGAGATCCAGAAACGGGAAGTGTAGCCAAACAGAGCACCCCAAACCCATCTCTGAAACAAAGGTTTACAATGTGTTTTTAGCAGCATTACCAGAAAACCTTCCACACAAAATTAAACAGTGATTCTCATTGCTTTAACCCCCTAAGACCCGAACTCTTTCATTGCATGCATTTTTAATTTCTCTTTGCTATTTGGGCTGATTGGGACCTGATGAATGTAAAAACAAAGAATTACCAGATTTATTTATTTTTTTACCTGATTTTTGTTTATGAGAAAAATGAGATCCACATATGAGGACATTTGTTTTAAATTTTGATAGAACAGTGGCAGTATAATGTCCCCGTAAGTGGATATCAGGCCCTTGTAGAGCAAAATTTTGTATTTAGGTCTAGACAACCAAAAATGTGATGTCCACATATGTGGTAACCAGGTCGTAGGAGGTTAAACTGACGTTTCATTCTAGTTTATTTGTAATTTACCTGCATTTCTTTGTTTCGTGTTTTGATTTGATGTAAAGCACCTTTGTAACACCTGTTGTATCCCGACATGTGCTACACAAATACATTTACTTACTTAAACACACCAACACAGCACAAAACATAAACACAATAAACAAACACATTATTTGGTTACACTCACCTCATCGTTATACAAACGATGAGGTGAGTGTAACCAACAAAATCAGAGGGTACCTGGTGACAGCAGAGAGGAAGAAATCTCTTTAACCGGGAAGAAAAATCAGGATCAGGGAGGAGGAGACAGGAAAAGAGGATGTGATGTTTCTCAATAAAGTCTTTCTTTACTTCAGTCCACACAAAAACCAACCATATGGACAGCATCCTGCTCATGATACAACACAAAAGGTGATCAAAAAATAGAAGATCGAACTCACTCATACAGCAGATCATTAGATCAGACCATAATGTAGCTGTGCACCCTGTCAGTGTGAACTCACAGCTAAAGAAAAAGTCACCTGACACCAGATTTAAAATATGTTTCTGGACAGATGAACAAGATGACAATGCATCGAGGTCGGATATTTTTTTCAGTGTTAGTTTCCATTATTAAAAACAACAACGAGTAAATACTAGTAAAGGAAATCACAATAAACTAAAATCGGGTGCAGGTATCTTTTAATTTTTTTCCGCCTAGAAGACTTCGCTCAGGGAAGAATGTTATCGGGGATAGAGGATGGTGTCCGCGGCGCCCGTCAGATAAACAGCCGGTTCGTCGCACAGGGCCGATATCAAACTGATCACAGAGGTTATATCAGTCATCTCACAGACAAACACGTTTATATGACACGCGGCTTAAACGTAGACGCTGTTTGAGTAGAGCTTTGGGGTGCCGTCAGTTTTTATAGTCAGGCAGCTGTAGAGGCAGCTACGGGGTCCCCACATCCTTTTAACAGAGAGCGGTTTGTTTTTAACAGCAGCAAGCAAAAAGCGCTGAGTTTAACTCAAGTCTGGTGTTTCAATGTTTTGGTGTTTTAATTACTTTAAGTTAATATTAAACAGCCTTAAAAACAGGAAAAGAAAAACGGCTAATTTTCATTCTCATCTGCGTGACAGAAGCGGAAAACCTTCAGGTGAGCTAACGCTAGAGGCTAGTGCGGCTGCTCATTCACTGTTGTGACTGAGTACTTTGAGTACTGTGACTATGGTGTTATTTGGCACGGCCTGGGTGAACAGTTTGATGTTCAATTTGAAAAAGAAGCAGCTGAACTGCTTGAAGTTTGTAAAGACGTTTCGTGCAACAGGCTTCTTCAGTTCTACAAATTAAGGTGGAGGGTCCCAGGTGTTTAATCCCCATTAGAGGTGATCCTGGGTCATTTACCCACTAGTGATCACGTGAGTCAACACCAGAACCAAGGTATGAAAGAAGGTAGAGCTTAGTGGGGTTTAATGGTGCAACCACTGTGAGATGTTGCCCCAGCCCATCGTGTGACCTGTTGAGGACACCTGAGCCAAGGTGTGAATCTGGGTGGAAATAGTCGGTTTTGTAAACCCCGCCCTCTGTTCAAAGATGTTCGTTCACAGTGGACATAGATGCTTCTTCCACTAACCATCACTCCTCTCTGTCCGAAATGTGAACATTGGCATCCTCAAAAGAGTGACCTTTGACTTTTAGATGCAGATGTACAGCTGAGTCCCTCTTCTGTGTACAGGTTTGAGCTTTCCTTGCAGCACGGCACTGCACAGCATACACTGTTGTTTAGTTTGTGTTTGTGTTTGGGATGAACCAGTTTGTGTCTGAGTGTGTGGCTGGGTCTGAAGTACACTGGGATGCTTCTATGATAAACCTGCTACATACGGGATTACAGTGTTGTTCCCCTTTGTCCTTCTTATTCTCCCTAGTTGGTGTCTGACCTTCTTTTCTGTGCATCTTTGTTGATTTGATGAAAGTCCAGTGTGGACAACCACATGTTTTAAGAGCTTTCTTCTTTGCATGTATGTTCCTTTTCTTTCGTCCTTCTACTTGTGCTTTGCTTTTTCACTTATCTGTAGTGCTGTCCCCTTTGAAAGTTTTACTTTCCACTACTTCGGGTAAAGGTGGCACTGGAGAGCCTGTGGCTCATGCATCTGTCTGACACATGTAGTGGTAAGGCAGAGGTCTGATCACTCATGTTCATCTCTGCTCTATCCACACAAACAGGTCAGTAATCGGTGTTTAAGTGATTAGAGCAGCTGACTAGTCTGTTTTTTAGGTGACACATCCACCTGGGATCTAGATTCTTCTTCTGTGGTGGAATCATGGAACTGGCCTATGTGTGTGAGTGGGAGAAGCGTCCGAAGAGCACGCACTGCCCTTCCATCCCGCTGGTCTGCTCCTGGTCCTGCAGGAACCTCGTGGCCTTCACCACAGACCTGAAGAGCGAGGACGACGACAAGAGTACACACACACACACACACACACACACACACACACACACACACACAGGTGAACACACAAACACACGCTGAACTTGATGTTCTGTTTTCAGATGTGAGTCACATGATCCATATCATCGACACTGAGCACCCCTGGGATGTTTTCTCCATCAACTCTGGACACACTGAGGTCATTTCCTGTCTGGAGTGGGACCAATCAGGTGAGACTTCAGTTAAATGTTTTGGAGATGAGCTCAGCTGATTTATTGACTGTTATTGGTCTGGAATCTGATGGCTATAAGCTGTTCAGACTGTGCCAGCAGGAGAAGCTGCTGTTCTCCTGCTTTATGTAAGTACATGCTGCAGTGTCACGTTCTGCTGAGAGAGACAGGAAGTGACGTGTGTGTCTGTGTGTTTGCGCGTGCTGCAGGCTCACGGCTGCTGTCTGCAGACGGCGACGGGCAGATCAAATGCTGGTCGATGTCAGATCACCTGGTAAATAGCTGGGAGAGCGTCCTATCAAGCTCGCTAGACGGAGACCCCATCATCGCTCTCAGCTGGCTGCACAATGGTGTCAAGCTGGCACTGCACGTGGAGATGGTAATAGCTGCCCACACATGTGCACACACCTGCTGGCTCGTTGCAGTGATAGCTCTGTGTCTTAACACTCACTGAGACCAGTTGAGTAAGCCCTGCCTCCTCTTCTACTTTTGCTTCAGTCTGGCTCCACAAACTTCGGGGAGAAGTTCTCACGGGTGAAATTTTCACCGTCCTTAACGCTGTTTGGCGGTAAGCCGATGGAGGGCTGGCTGGCGGTGACGGTGAGTGGTTTGGTGACTGTGTCGCTGCTGAAGCCAGGCGGCGCTCTGCTGACAGCGAGCGAGAGCCTGTGCCGGCTGAGAGGGCGCGTGGCGTTGGCGGATATTGCCTTCACTGGAGGAGGGAACATTGTGGTGGCTGCCACAGATGGTAGCAGCTCCTCGCCTGTGCAGTTCTACAAGGTAAGGACGAAAGATGCTGGCGTTACCAAGGGGCTCTCACCTCTTATGCTAACCTGACATTTTACCTTTGTTTTTTTCAGGTGGTGGTCAGTGTGGTGAGTGAGAAATGTCGCATTGATACTGAGCTGCTGCCCTCACTTTTCCTGCGCTGCACCACCGACCCGCTGAGGAGGGAGAAGTACCCCGCTGTCACCCACCTCAAGTTCCTGACCCGGGAGAACTCTGAGCAAGTAAGACCAGTGTGACCAGTCAGATCAATAAGACAAGTGTGACCGTTAAACCCGAGACCACCGGGACCTTCAGAACTCAGAGCAAGTGTGTGCTTTACAGGTTCTGCTGTGTGCGTCCAATCAGAACGGCAGCATCGTGGAGTGCTGGTCTCTGAGGAAGGAGGGACTTCCTGTTAATAATATCTTCCAGCACTGTTCGCCTGTGGGTAAGAAAACCCAGCACCAGGCAGGAAGTGATGTAACAGCCAGCTAATCGTTGGCATAGTGACAAGAGGCTTTAAGAATCAGACTGTGTGTGTGTGTGTGTTCATGACCACTGACCTTTTGTATTTAATGCCCTGACTTTCTTTATTTGACCTCTTCTGACAGTGGGAGAGAAGCAGCCGACCATCCTAAAATGGCGGATCCTGACGACCACCAGCGACCTGGAGCGTGTGTCGGCTGTCGCTCTGCCCAAGCTTCCCATCTCCATCTCCAACACTGAACTGAAGTTCTGCCCCGGACTCGGTGAGCCTCAGAGCTGGAAATGGCTGGTTGTTCTTCAGGGAGGTGTACACGCGTGCTGCCAAGCACCTTCATCAAGCTCAGAGTTTCTGTGGTCAGGGTGATCGTTCTCATGTTGATTTGAAAAAATGGCGGTAGAAGAAGAAATGTGTAGGAGGAAATCAGAGTACTAAACGGGCCAATCACAGTCATTGTGGGCATGGCATGTCTGTTACGGCATAGTGTTTGCGCACAGCACTGGTAGGAGGAGCCTCAGACAGCGACCTCATTGTAATGTCACTGTGTTTCGTTTACCTGGTGAACTTTATTTTGGGCCATTACCAAATCTTAAACCGCGATGCTTGTTCTGGACCGTCAGGTCTGACACCCTGCTGACCCCTGAAGTTAAAGGTTGATCTGGCTTCCTTTAAAGATGGTGGCAGGACTTTGTTGTAACCATCTCATCTAATTGTGGTTTCAGGTCTGGCTCTGGCGTTTCATGATGGCAGCATCCAGATCCTGCACCGCCTCTCCCTCCACACCATGGGCGTGTTCTACGGCGCCTCCTCGGCACAGCGCCCTGGAGATGAGTCGGCCATCAAGCGCCAGAGAACCGCCGGCCCCACCGTTCACTTCAAGGCCCTGCAGTTCTCCTGGACCTCATTGGCTCTGGCTGGAGTTGACAACCATGGCAAGGTGAGGACACACAGCTGGGTTCTGGTTCAGCCCAGATCAATAAAACGCCACACGTTAACAATCAGAGATCAGATCGATCGGTTTCTTATCAGTTGATTAATTTAGCAGAGAAACTGTTTCCTCTGGAATCCTGACATCTCCGTAACCTACATGACTTCTGTGTGAAGTAACTCAATCGGGTTGATGAGAAATGTGAAATAAGAAATTTGAAAGCAAAACAACCAAATAAGGTCTCCAGAGAGTGAGCCGAGGACGAGTCGATGGACATCTGGACAGTTGCCGCTTTGAATCATTCAGAAATCGAATTCTAATCTGTTTGTTTGTTTGTTCTCTCGTCAGCTCCACATGCTGCGTGTGTCGCCCTCTATGGGCCAGGTGCTGGAGATGAACACGACGCTGCGTCACCTACTGTTCCTGCTGGAGTACTGCATGGTGACGGGTTACGACTGGTGGGATGTGCTGCTGCATGTGCAGCCCAGCATGGTGCACAACCTGGTGGAGAAGCTGCATGAAGAGTACATGAGGCAGAATCAGGCGCTGCAGCAGGTCAGCAAAGCATGCTGGGAGAAAACCACAAGGCCGGGTCTTTAAGTGATGACATATTAACCCTGCTTCTGGGTCCAAACTGCTCTGTTTATTAAGGCTGTTGTGTTTTTAACATGTTTTGTTTCTATTTAATCTCAACAAGACCCTAAAAACAGTCAGTGATCGCTGTCGGCCTCTCTCGGTTTTTATTACCACTGTTCATTTTAAAGCTCAGTTTTTAAAACCTTACTATGTAACTACAGTCCAGCCCCTGCAGCAGTATGTAAATGACTAACCTCGTATTGTGGATGGATTATCTTAGTTGTTCTCCTGACTGAAGTTTGGTCCGTTTACAGCATCTTTTTTCTGCCATTCGATTGCATTTGTCCCTAACCATTGGGAAGCCGCGGGTTAACTTTTATCAAGTGGAGAAAAAAAAGTTAGCATTCATCCTCCAGCTTCACTCTGCTAATTTGTTTATATTACGCTAACTGTAGCTGTGTAGCTAGCCAGTAGCCACTATGTAGCACATCATTATATACCAACAAGCCCAACCTCAGTAACCCTACAAACGTCACTGCTGTTTAGTTTTCTGTCTTGTTCTTCATGTTCTGCTTCATGAATCAGGAAGATTCAGTGACTGAACAGGGCTGAAGCGGTTAGCACTCATCAGCTTCACAAAGGCAGAATCACAGTAGCAGGTTTTTATCAGACTACAGGAAGTAGTCCCTGTGGTTAGGACCAGGCAGCACATGTGTTTAAAAAAAAAAAAAAGTCTTACATTTGGTCTGGATGAGCAGTAAAACGTTTGTAGATGGAGGAACATGAAGAGGAGGCAATTTGCGCTCACTCTTTAGAAATCCAACCGTAGGTTTTCTTCCTCTGCACCTAGACAGGGTGCTGTAAGAATGCTTTCAGCATTATTAAATGTCCCAGTAATTATTTACCATTAATTTGAAAATGCAGGACAGGTGAGATGATGAAAGTCAGCAGAACGCAGGAAGGGGTGTTTCTGATGTTTCTGGCTCGAGCACTTCCCCTTTGCCATTCTCTGCTTCAGGTTCTGGCGACACGCATTGTGGCAGTGAAGGCTTCTCTCTGTAAACTCTCCACGGCGACAGCGGCTCGAGCGTGTGACTTCCATGCCAAGCTACTGCTTATCGCTATCAGCTCCACCCTCAAGTCTCTGCTGAGGCCTCATGTCCTCAACACGCCGGACAAGAGTCCTGGAGACCGACTGACAGAGATCTGCGCCAAAAACACAGACACAGGTGAGACCGCAGGTGGCGGCGGTGACCCATCATGTGTGGGTGGTGGCTGATGGCTCCATGTCTCCTCAGATATCGATAAGGTGATGATCAACCTGAAGACGGAGGAGTTTGTACTGGATGGTCCTCCTCTGCAGTCTCTGCAGCAGCTCATCCAGTGGGTGGGAGACTTCGTCCTGTACTTGCTCGCCAACCTGCCCAACCAGGTAAGTGAAGTCGGGTGGCGATGCACACACCTTATTCCATGTTAGGAGGAGTGACTCGGAACCATTCCAATGAAACAGAAGCTGTAAGCAGATGTAGATCAATCAGTTCGTCTCCAGGAAGCAGAACTCAGTAGAACTCATCATGTTTGGCTGATGACCTCTGATCCCGGGTTTATGTATGCTGCTCTCATAGGGCTCTATGGTCCGGCCCGGGTTTGGCTTCATGCGGGACGGGGCGTCTCTGGGGATGCTGAGGGAGATGCTGGTGATGATCCGGATCTGGGGTCTGCTGAAGCCCGGCTGTCTGCCCACCTTCACTGCCACGTCGGACAACCAGGACAGCATGCTGCTGCTGTTCAGGCTGCTCACCAAGCTGTGGCTCTGCTGTAAGCAACACACCTCTGGTCAGGACTGGGCCACTTTATCTGACCTCAGGTCCTCTCACGTTCAGTCAAAGGTTATGAGCTTTAATCTGAGGTTTCGGGTTAGTCTTCCCTTAATCATGGTTGTTTAAAGTGAATCAGGTCAAAGGTGTGCAGGTGATCCCAGGTGTTGTTGAAGGAGCCGTGAGTGAAACAGGAAGTCCTCAACTGCAAACACCATGCAGTTCCATCAGCAGTTTTGAGGAGAAGGAAGCATCCAGCTAGGAGAGGAAAACATCTAATCATCCATGTGTAGTGTAGAGAGAACTGGATGAAAGCCTCCATCAGCCTCAGAGCAGATCAGACTAGAATGGCACGGGCCGTCACTCACCGCCACATGTAAATTGTTCTTAATTAATTTACTGTTTGTTTTTGTTGGGTTCTTTTCACGTGGAAATAAACAGATCTGACCAATCGGATCAATGCATTTGGCAACAGGTGTTCTGTAGGTAAAACTGACAGTAAGATGGAAACTGTAAATAATCCTGAGCTCAGACTCACAGCTAGCTGCTGCTACAGGTCAGTTGTCACTCTGGAAGGATTCCTCAGATCGCTCCACTGATTCCTGAAATATGAAATCCTCCCTGCTGCTCCTGAGACTTGGATGAACATCTGGACCATACAAGTGAGAGGAGGAGAGAAATAAAAATGCCTCCCTTGTGGGAAATTAAAAGAAAAAAGGGGGTCAACACTTCCAACCTGCTCCATAAAGCTGAAAGTAGCTTAGCCTATTTTATAAGTTTATAGATTTATGACTGCATTGATCCAGTATTATTAATAATAATGATAATAATAAAAATGGATTGCATTTATATAGCACTTTTCGGGCCCTCAAAGCGCTGTACAATTCCACTATTCATTCACTGTCACATTCACACACTGGTGGAGGCAGCTACAGTTGTAGCCACAGCTGCCCTGGGGCAGACTGACAACAGTTTAAATTTATTAAACAGTTTAAATCTCCTCCAGGATCAATTTCTGTGATTTCAAATCTGGAATCAACAAGATTTTTTGAACTTATCATCCCAGTTTGAGGCATGACCAGAACCACAGACGTGTGGCGTGTGCTCTTTGTCACCATCAACTTCACCTGAGCCCTGAAAACAATTGTCCTGCTGAGCTCAGCACGAGAGAAGCTTGAACTCAGGTCAAAGAGAGGCTGTCACCACTACTAAACAGTTTCCCATTTTCTGTCACTCAGCACGGGATGATGGCGCCCCCCAGGACCCCGACGACAGTCTGATCGACGAGTGCTGCCTGCTGCCGAGCCAGCTGCTGGTGCCCAGCATGGACTGGCTGCCCGTCAATGACGGTGTGATGGTGAAGCTCCAGGGCAAGCACCCACTCAGGCTGCAGTTTGGCAAGGCCTCGTCCCTGCCCAGCAACGCCCCGCCCACACCTCTGGAGGTGTTCAACAGGTAATGCACACCTCAGCCTGCAGCTTTCCATAACTGCCGTTTCACTTAGAACCTACTCGGGTCGGCTCGGTTTTTACGATTTTCCATTAGGTGGTAGTACCTGGTACTAGGTACTAATTTAGTACCCACTGGCCAGGATTCCAAGCGATCTCAGGTGTCAGCAGCCTGCATGCCACCAATTGGCTAGTCAGTGGCGTCACTCGATGAGTCATGAGAGCGTCTCCTTCATGAAAATCAATACCGCCGTTTTTGAAACCCGGCAATGAGGAACACAGCTGCACAAAGAACAACGCCACAGACCTAGCAGCAGATACACCATTGCCTCCACGTCTTCCTCTGTTTGTGTCACATGCGAATGATGTCACAGGACTTTCAGCCGAGTTCCTAGAACAACCCCACACACATTATTTGGTACTGGATTCTAATGGAAAACAAACAACACCAGGTTGAGTCGAGAAGGTACCAGTGACTGTGCTGACGGTAACTTGTGTGTTTCTGTGTGTGCTCGCAGGACTCCTGGCTCCCAGAGGATGGATAACCTGCGTTGTGTTCACATGGGCGTCTGTCCTACCGAGGAGAGCAAAGCCTGCACCAGGTGAGTCCGTGGGAAGCGATGTCACATGTTCCACTTTCATAATGACATCACTAAGCTCCGCCTCTTTCAGGTGCGGCTGCGTGACAATGCTCCGTTCTCCCAACAAGACAAACGCCATGAAGCAATGGGAGCAGCGCTGGATTAAGAACTGTTTGTGTGGCGGTCTGTGGAGGAGGATCCCGCCCACGTTCACCTGAAGTGGTGACACTAAATCACCTGTTGGTGTGGAGCTTATTCACATCCCAAACCTATTGACCAATCAGGTTCCTGAAAATGGTCTTTAATATCCAGCTGAGAACCGGCTTCATGAGACCAGTTTCTGTGTGAGGCACAGGGACTGAATCCAGTTCCGATTGATCGTTGGAGCTGCACTTTGTACATAAACAGCATTTTTCTAATAAAGCCAACCAAACTGAACGAAGTGTTTCTGTTTTTGTGTCCGAACACCTGAGAGCGCTGGTTCATCCATGTCACATCACGCTGATGGAACGAACAAATGGGTCATCGGGTGTTTCCATGGGAACAGAAGTGATGCTGCAGGAAGTGTCAGGTGGGTTCATCGTGTACACAATGTCTTTAAGGGAGAAATTACTTTAAAGACACCTGTGATCACCGTTTCTCTCAGCTGATCATAACCACCTGTCAGGTGACGCACTGAGCACCTGCGTCTGCCCATCACTCTGCTTGGTAGAGGTGCATCAACCAGAGAGAAAGATTCTTTCAGTCACTTTTTAAAAAAATTTTTTTTATCCAGCTCATTTCCAGCTGCAGGTAAAAATAGGAGAATACAGTTTAAAGTCTCTCTCTCTCACTCAACTCTCTCTCTCACACACACAGTGAAAGGTAATGCAAACATGTAGTCACCACTCTGAGGACTCAAAGTTCAGTTTTCACATCATGACAGCAGCTCTGAAACAGCACCCCCCTGTGGTGGACCTGCTCGTCTTTTTAGGTTGAGCACAGACAACCGCCTTTTCCTGAGTACAAAACTACATATTTAGTAATGGTTTAATTCTGTGTGTGTGATCACATATAATGATGAAGAGAAGCCTGTCGGTAAAAATTCTTATCTCTCTTCCATCCACATGGATATTTGTAAAATGTTCTCTGTTCAGGTCACAGTGTCTGAATTCAGGATTTAATATTAATAAACTGGAAATGATTCTGAATGAGCTAAAGAGCACCAGCCTTCAGAAGAACGTTCAGCCAGTAACACCTGCTGCAGGTGAGCTTCAGCCCTCCCAGTGTTCCCTGTCTGTGACTGTCTTGGGTTCCTCTGGGGAAAAGCATGTCCCCCCCCCTCCTGTCCCAGCAGGGGGCGCCACAGCCTGCATTCAGCTGCTTTTTCAGGCGATTAGAAAAAAAAGGCAGAATCACGTGTTTTTGTCTCTGTGACGTTTCAGGTGCGTGAAGGGTTAAAAACAGCGCCAAAGTGTAACCCTTTAGGCTCCGATCACCTGACAGCAACACGCACGAGGAACGTTTCACAGCTCGCTCTGCCCCGCCCACCCTGACACACACACACCGCAGCAGGTTCCTCCCGCACACAGACGTCTCTGCGCTGTTCTGCAGGAAACGGAACCCACCGGAACCGGACTGAGACCCAGCCGTAGCAAGGTTCCGGTTCTGCTGACGGGATCCAGAGCGGGTGGATGTTCAGAGGTGATACTGTGTGTGTGTGTGTTTTGCTGCAGAGGTGCAAAATCCGGACTGCTTTGTTCAGTTTCCGGTCCTGCTGCACCTCCACCTGTCTGTCTGTCCGCGCGGCTCCATCAGTGGGTGGAGGACCTCTGTATACTGATTGGTCAGCTGTTAAATGGCATTAATGTGACATGTGTCAGGGTGATGATGATGAAGAGCTTCCTTTGTGCAGCTGATTGTCTTCAGACTGATTTTCAGTGGTGTTCTCTGAAATGACTGAACACAGGTGTGAGGGCGTCTGTGTTGTGAGGGGGAGGGTCCGAGCAGCCGGTGTCCAGCTGCTTCCTGTGGTCATGTGATCTTCTTCTAGTAAACTCAGGTGTGTCAGAGTTCTGGCACCACATGCTGAAGCATTAACCTTTCATTATTTGAATGGATCCCTGAATGGGATTTTATCACTCCAACCTCTGAGGTGAAGGTGTAAGGGAGGCGCTAACCCCGCCCACACCATGCCACTAGGGGGCGACAGCAGTCAACTTCAGCTTCTTTTGAAGTTTGACTGCTGTGCTGTTGACTGCCCCCTGCTGGCAGTCAACAGCACAGAGGCAGAAACAGTCGCTTCTTTCATCAGAAATTTGTATGGATAAGTTTCCTCCTCTCCTCCAGATCGCAGCTCTCCCGCTGGTCTGCGAGGTCACGTCCACGACCTCACAATGACTGTAAACGGCGAGCAGACGAGGAGGACAGACAGTCAGTGTCTTTAAGCTGACTGGTCATTGTGTTGTTGTGTTTGAATCTTTAGCTCAGGATTGGTGGGTCAAACTCTTTAAAGGTCACGGGAACCGCCAGGAACGTGGATGGCACCGGTTTAAAAACCAGTGAGCGACACCGGGATGTCGCCCACTACTTTCTAAAGTCCAGTTTCCACTGTTGCAAAAAAGTGGACATGGGAATGGGGCGCATCTGCTTGTCTAATGACTTATGATTGAAAACTCATGAGCCAATCAGTGTGCAGCTTCCTACTACAGAAAATCCTCCATTTTCAAACAGTGTGACTGAAATTACCTAGCTCATTTCATTCAGGCGCAAACTTGGTGGGAGGGTTTTCACAGGACGTCTTATGCCTATCCGGTTGTTCAGTGATGACGCGACGAATC